AGGAACCTGGAGGCAGGAACTGAAGCAGAGGTCACGGAGGATGCTGCCTAATGACTTGCCCTCCATGGCTTGCTCAGCCTGCTTATTTATTTTGTTTTTTTGAGACAGGGTTTCTCTGTGTAGCCCTGGCTGTCTTGGAACTCACTCTGTAGACTAGGCTGGTCTCGAACTCAGAGATCCACCTGCCTCTGCCTCCTGAGTTCTGGGATTAATGGCAGCTAGATTATTTCTTCTTCACTGAGTTTGATGCTTTGGCCCATTTGTGGGTTCTTGATAAGATAATGGAAGGAAACTCAAGGACAGTTGTATTGGCATTCAGGAGAGGAACCAGCAAAGCAGGCTGCTTCAGGGGGAGGTGGACAAGAAAGAGAGTTCTACTTTCTAAGCTCGGAGTCAGGAACGCTGGCTGGAGCACGGTGGCATATGTCTACAATTTTACACTTGGGAGGCTGGAGCAGAAGGGTTTCTGAAAGTTCAAGGCCAGCCAGGGTCACATAACAAAACACTATCTCAAAAAATGGGAACAGTCTGAACAGTGCACAAGGCTCAGCAGTGGAAGTCTGCAAGTGGGGGGCGGGCGGGGATCAGGTCTCAGAAATAGTGAGAAGGTGAGAGAGAGTTCCAAGTGTCAAGACGTAGGCTAGTGTCCAGGAGAGACAGAATGCAATGAAAAGTTCTGACTTTGGAACTCGGAACGCGGGCAGGCTTCGCGATTAAGATTGACAGGGTTTGTGTGAGGATGGTGGGGCCTGAGAGTTAAAGAATGGGAGAGTTCATTTTATATATATATATATTTCTCTTCTGTGTGGACCGTATGTGTGTATGTGGGTGGACACCCATGTACCCGTGTGAGGTGGCCACAGGACACTGAGTGTCCTTCTCTGTCATTTCCTACTTTATTCCTTTGAGACGTTCTCAATGCATCTGGAGCTAGTCTAGTGGCCAGGAAGTCCCAGCAAACCTCCTGTCTCAGCACCTTTACTGTGCTGGGGTTAAACAGCCTGACTGTTTATGTGAGTGTTGGGTTCCAAACCCAGATCCCCTTCTTGCCCAGCCAGCCGTCTAGCCACTGAGCCGTCTCGCGAAGCCCCATTTGATATGTTTGGACTTCTGAGTCCAAACTTTAATTGCCTTTTCCAAAAGCAAATACAAGTTTTACAGTGAAGGTGACCAGCTAGAAGACAGCTCACCGCTGTCTCAGGAGTGCCTCTCTGGGGCTGAGCGCTGTGCTTCACGCTTGTAATCCTAGCCGTCGAGAGGCCTCGGAGGCAGGAGGATTGCTGTGACTTCGGGACCAGCCTTAGCTATAGAGTGAGTTCCAGGGACACTGTGGGCTAGAGTGAGACCCCGCCTCAAGCAAACAAGCAAGGCTCTGGGACACCCTTGTCATTGACTTCCTTACTGGGGGAAGGTGCCGGTACCTTTTCCTGCTTCCAGACACAGTGCTTTGGCGGATCACCTCCTAACTCCTGCCTGACAGAACATCTCTAAGGTGCATAGTTTTGTAATAGTTAAAAATAAATAAATCCAAGGTATTTGTATGGATAAATGAAAAGCATATGGCACCAGACTGTTCCATCTTTTCTCAATCTTTTTTTCTACACAGGGAATCTGAAGATACAGTATTGCTGGTCCTCAAAGAGATCTACCAAACCCAGGGTATCTTCCTTGATCAGCCTTTACAGTAAAAATGGCTCGACTCTGGCTGCTTAATGTAAGTTTTCAATGCAGTGTAGTGTGGAGCAGAAATCTTAAAAGTTCTTATTAATAAAATCAAACCTGGAGCCAGGTATTGGGGTGAACTGGAAGATCAGAGAGACAGAACAAGCCACAGCTAACCTCATCTTGCCAACTTCTCAGCTGATCCTGTTTTCTCAGATTGGAAGCTTCTGAGTCCTCATCCAAATGGGTCTCAGCTGAACTGTGCTGCTAGAAGCCTGAATGCTTAACCAGCCAAAATGCTTAACCAAGACAAATGCTTCTAGTTTTTGGTCCTCACGCCTTATATACCTTTCTGCTTTCTACCACCACTCCCTGGGATTAAAGGCTGGCTTTCTGGGATTAAAGGCATGAGTCACCATGCCTGGCTGTTTCCAATGTGGCCTTAAACTCACAGAGATCCAGAGGGATTTCTGCCTCTGGAGTGCTAGGATTAAAGGCATGTGTGCCACCATTTTCTAGCCTTTGTATCTAGTGGCTGGTCTGTCTCTGACCCCAGATAAGTTTATTAGGGTGCACAATATTTTGGGAACACAATACCACCACGGTAGTGTTTCCATGAGAACATGTTACAAGGAACATGGGCGCCTCAAGCCCTTATACAGATCTAGGGTTAATACTCACTCTGAGGACTGGTTAAAACTTGAAGGAAATATCCCGTGCCCACTGAGGGATCAGTGTCTGTTTTATCGTGTGCTTGGGATCCTGAGTTACCCTGCTCAGCCGTCTACATAGGAGCCTGGAAAGTCTGTGTTCAGTAGTGGCGTTTCCTGTGCTTGCTGGTTCCTCAGGCTGAACTGCACGGTGACCTCTTCTCCCGCTCTCTCCTGTAGATGGACACCGAGGGATCCTTCCTGAAATGTGCCTGTTGCTGCGGCCACGTCATGTCCTGCATGTTGCCTGCCTCACTCCACGGGATCTTGAGAAGAAAATCCGTTCATAAATGAGTGGAAAGCAAAAGGAAGACTCATTGCTTTGTAAAAACCCTCACTAGTTTTTGTAGCTAAGGAGTTGACATCTTTTAATGCTTTAACAGCAGACCTTCCTCATTTCATACATGGAAAGGAATACAGTCAACTTTGAGGGAGGTTTACTCCTTACCTTTACAAAGTGGACCAGCTTGGGAGTACAGTCTTAAGATTCAGAGGTCCTTAGGGTCCAGTCATTCTGTGTCCTCCGCACTGGAAGGCTAAGCGTAAGTGGACATGGAAATACTGCTCGTTTGAAGCCAGCCTTTCTTTCCTGTGGGTAGTCTAGGAAGACGGGACTAGTTACTAAAATCGTTTGCTCTGAACACTGTCAGCTAGGCTCTCTAGGAACCACTGGTGCTGTTGGCTGTTTTCACAACTCCTGAGCTTCTGTAAATGTGAAGGTTGTATGAATCGTATGCCTGCCCTTTTATAGCGTGTTCCAAACTGGGGTGAGGTGAGGAATTATTGGACAGTACTCATCTTAGAGGTGAAGTTGTAAGAGTCGGTCCATTACATGGCCTTTCCCAGCTGTTCCTGTCGTAAAGGAGATCTTTTGGTAGCACCAACCGAGGTTGCCTGCTACTTCCGGCCGAGTAAAGGAAGTATTGTGATGTGAACATCCTTCTGACGTTTCTGAGGTTTCGTCCCAATGTTTAATTTACTTAGAGTTGGCAGTCTGTTAGTTGTGCACACAGGCTAGCCCAGGGAGACCCCATATTCTGAAAGAAACCCTCTTCACGGGGTCTGAGGAGCAGCTGTGTGCACTGTAGCTGGATCCAGAGAAATGAAGTCGAGTTCTCTCGGGGAACTAAGTTTTCCCCAGGGTGTCTGCTTTCGTCTTTCCTCCCTTCTTCAGCATGTTCCGGCATCTTCGTTCTCTTCAGGACGGTGCTGCATGCTCCTCAGACCAACCTCAGAGTTCCACAGCTCTTCACAGAGTGGCAGAGGAGGAAGCTATGTTGGGATTTCTGTCTTTTTTTTTGTTAACCTATCATGGTATCAGAAACTCTGCATGCACTCCTCACTGAAGCCACCCCTCAGACAGCCGTGGTCTTGACCCTTGTTGGTCCAGAAAAGGAGAGGTTAATCACTGTGCCCTGGAGGTCACAGAGGCAAGCCTGGCCTTGCTCTGCTTATGGACAAGGCTGGATAAGCAAGCGACTGAGAAGTTCCAGGTGTATGGATTCTTTTTTTTTTTTTTTACACTCTCTTGAGTAGGAATTACTGAGAATGAAGTAGCATTCATTAAATACTAAAGGGTTTTTGTCAAGTTGCTGTCTTCAGATTTGTTTACTCTTGTTAGCAGAATCATTACTACTTCAGAGTAAACCAAAGTACAACCAAGAACGAGTTCTTGTAACCAAAGATGGGCAGCTTGGCCCCGGAGCGCCAGCTAAAGCGCTGTTCTCTGACATGCTTCTTCCCGGCAGTCCGGCATACAGTCATTAGGAAGAGCTCGAACCTCGCCATCCACTTGTGGTGTTACCATGCTGTGTTGTGCAAGTGAGGAAGGTGGCGAGGAGCCTGTTCACTGTACGCTCTTCACCCGCATCATGCGTATCATGTAGTCTCTTGACCGAGGCGAGGCTGGTGTGGAAACTCTAGCCTAACAGCATTTGTACAGATTCCTGGCTGCAGACTCAGTGAGAGATTGTTTCAAGGGAAGATGAAGAGCACTGATCACCTTGCTGATATTTTGCACTTTTGAAATGCTTGTTTTATATGTGATTATATTTAAGACTTTAGTAAATGCTGAAATAAAACTATTGACCAGTTACTTTCATGTGGCCTTATCATCAAGAAAAACCAATATAGTAACTATTTTCTCTTATGCTAAATTCAAAACAAAAATTTTAGGCAAATAACTAATATGTAAGTTGTTTTCCCTTGATTAATGTTTTCATTGTCATGGAGAGATACAGCTCAGAATTTAAAGTGTGGCAATGATAAGTGTGTCTGTAAATACAGAAAACACAGAGCCTGTCCTTTAGTACCTATAAATATTAGCTTGTACATCAGATACCACACTTAGTCGTATCCTGTATCAACATGAGGATCCAGTGTTGATCTTCTTAAAGTACAAAAACTCAGGCACACACTTTTTCACTGTCAGATTTACTGGGCAAGGGGGGAAGAGAATACACTGAAAATATACTTAAGAGTATGTTATAGCTGAGTTCATGCACACCTTTAATCTCAGCACTTGGGAGGTAGAGGCAGGCGGATCTCTGAGTTGGAGGCTAGCCTGGTCTACAGAGTGAGTTCCAGGACAACCAGGGCTACACAGAGAAACTGTCTCAAAAAACAGAGTATGTTATAGGAAGATTACATAAGACAAAATTTTATTTAAAGTATAACAGAGGTAGCTATTAGTTGGTCCTCAAAGTGTCACGTTCTGATGATAGCCTATAACTGTTCCATATATTTTTTGTGAATAAAAGGCAGAAAGAGTTACATTTATCTTCCAGATAATATCTGTAAGTTTTCTGATGAAGTAAAAAATTGGCCCAAATTGGTGGTTTTATTATTTAAGGCTTAATGGAATGTGGCCACAAAAAGTAAACATAAACTTTAGCTGGCACTACCCTTCTTTATAAGGGATAGAGATTAAGATTGGTCGTAAAGTCTTGAGGATAAAATGAGGCCGTGAGAGTCTCCGTTGTGAAAAGGTCTCTTGAGGGACATCTACATAAATGCAAAGACCCTAGATCTTGGAACACCAATCTTATGGCCCAGCTTTATTAACCTAGAGAGAGAACTCCCGAAAGAGCCACTTTCCAGAACAGGCCCCAGGCAGAGATTGCTCAGGGTCTAGCCTTGGAAGTGGGGCAAAGTGCGTGCGCAGTCTCCGGGGCGGGACTACAGTGTGGCGGTGTCCACACCAGATAGCCAGAGTTCTTGGTTTGTGCGTGGTGTCCGGTTAGGAGGCTGACTGGCTTCTTCTCCACTGAGGTAGTAGGTTCAGCTAAATATCCAAGTGGTGAGACTCACTGGGCTTCTTCTGGGAGGAGGGGAGTTTGTGCCTGTCCTGAAGTGGTTTGTGGCATTCCCCGTCAGTCAGAGGAGGGTAGTACTGCCTGTAGCAGACGTAAGCAAACGCCATTCCAATCATGGACCCCACTAGGACATCTGAGGAGAGAGAAATGGGTCTTTTTTAAAAAAAATTTTAGACACTACAAAGTTAGAGGACTTGGCCCTCCAGGTTACTCCGCTTGCAGGGGCCAAGAAAGACCTCAACCTATCGGGGACTATGGGGGTCCAGCCCCTGATAGTCCCCTCTCAGGGTCCGGGAAGAATCTACAACCAGCTGATAATTAATCTTTGGTGAGAAGAAATGAATCTATGTACACGAAGCTCCTTAGTTCATACACTTTATCATTCTATGATAGTTCTCTCTCTACACAGCTTCTATTCTGCTCTCATGCCTAGCTCCTTTCTTGCCTGATTTCTCTCTACATTTATCTGCTGTCCCCTCTAGGTTCTATCTTAATTCCTTCATCTAGTTCTGTCCCTTCTAGGTTCTCATCTATCTAGTTCTTTCCCCTATCAGCTCCTCTCCCATCTCCTCTCTCATGTGGCTCTTCCTCATCTTCCATCTCCTTCCTCTAGTCCTCTCTTCTAGCCCTTCAATCTAGTTCTTCTCCATCTCAGTTTGCTCCTCTCAAGTTCTTCCCCATCTAGTTCTTCCATTCTCTTTTCTTACTTAACGTCCACCTGTCCTAGGCGGTGTCTCCTTGTGGAATTTACCGTAAGTCAGGAGACTTGTATGTGGGCTGTTATCATTGTTAGTCCTTGAAATTGGGCGCCCACCTGGGTGGTGTTTCCTGTAGTCCTTGAAAGTGGC